AGTGGCATTTTGCCCTGTTTATTAAGCTACAAAGTGACCGTAATTTACATTCTCTCAGATACTTTGTCCGGAAGTAGTGTACCCTTAGATTGGAGATTTAACTTTTTGGGAGAAAAAGTAAAGATGCAGGTCTAGAATACCTCGAATTATTTGTCGAACTCTTTTTTTTAATCATAATGAATTGGTTTATTACTACTCCGTATAATTTATTTCATACTTGATTAAAATATTAAAAAATGAAATATTGTTCCCTCCCTGCTTCAACTAACTAACGAACATTCTTTTCTCAGCAATTTAAAGCTTCAGATCATTACGCTACCTTCGAAAATTTCCGAACCCGAATCCGCTACTCGGATCCTCCGGCGCTGCCTCCAACAATGTCGAAACAGACGTACAGCGTCTGTTTCTGTTTCCGTCGGCGGTTCCGCCTAGCTGACGCCGAGGCTCCGGCTGAGATTAGGAGCATATTCGATCAATACTCAGAAAATGGGTTGATGACCGTCGAAAACCTTCAACGCTTCATGATCGAGGTTCAGAAGGAGGAGAACACAACCGTGGAGGACGCTCAGGCCATCCTGGATAGCCTCCATAACCTCCAGCTTTTGCATCACAAGGATCTTCATATCCATGCCTTCTTCAAGTATATCTTTGGCGATGCCAATTCACCTATCAATCCTAAGCTCGGGGTAACTTTCTCTTTTCTTCTTAAAATTGAGTTTAATTGATTCCAGTTTCCAAAGTTTGATTCATAGCTAGCATAATTTGGAGGGAAAATTAAGCATGAGTTTTTATCATCTCACTTATAATAATAATTATTATAGGGTTAGTTGTTAGCTGATTGAGTTAATTAGAGGGTATAACTAGTTGATAACATTAGCTGATTGTAAAAAGTGTTTGGTAAATTAGTTGTTAGCTTATAGCTGTTTGGAATAATTTCTTTTCTCAAAATGCTAATTGAAAAAGTTGTTTTGAGCAACTTTTTGAATTTTAGCATTTTGGAGTTACAAAAAGCTAATTAACCAAACACTTATATTGATCTTTTAATTAAGTCAAACAACTAATAGTGGTCAAATAAGCCAAAATTGGCTTAAGCCAACTATTTTACCAAATAGGGCCAATAGCTATTTCATGTTATTATTTGCTAATAGGTAAGTGATTGTGTTTTCCAGATTCACCATGATATGAACTCTCCATTATCTCACTACTACATATACACGGGTCATAATTCTTATTTAACTGGGAATCAACTAAGTAGTGACTGCAGTGATGCCCCTATCATAGAAGCCCTGAAGAGCGGTGTACGAGTAATCGAGTTGGATATATGGCCAAATTCGGAAAAAGATGATGTGGTTGTTCTCCATGGAAGGTATGGTATTGATAAGTGAATGTTTTCCTTTCTGAGTGAACTTCTGTATAAGTACAAATGACACAACTGGAAGACTTCTTTGATGGAACTTTGGACTTTCTGTTTGATGAAGCTTTTCTGTGTACAATTAGTCAATAAGAGAATGGATATATTTTCTTTCCTACAAAAGATGATGTGCTTTTGGCTTTTGCAATATAAATTTGATAAGCTAATCCTGTCTTTTATGCATGTGCGATCTTGTGTCTTTAACTGCTAAAAGAGGTTTATTTTCTTATGCAGAACACTGACCACTCCTGTGGCACTTAGCAAATGTTTGAAGTCTATTGAAGAGCATGCCTTTTCTGCATCTGAGTATCCTGTGATAGTAACACTTGAAGACCATCTTACTCCAGACCTTCAGGCTAAAGTGGCAGAGGTGTGTAGATGCATTTTTCTAAAACTAAAAGTCAGGGTCATGGTTGGCCTATTAATTGCCGTCATGAATGAATTCTAGATGATCACACAAACATTTGGAGACATGCTGTTTACTCCTGGCTCAGAATGTTTGAAGGAATTTCCCTCACCAGAGTCGCTGAAAAAACGGGTTATTATATCAACTAAACCACCTAAAGAATACCTAAAGACCAAGGAAGTTGAGAAAGAGGGTGAGACCAATAAAGAAAGTGATTCAGCAGAGAGTGATGCTTGGGGTAAAGAAGTTTCAGAACTGACTGCAGGAAATAATGATGATAAGGTTCATAAAGTTTAGTCTCTCTTAATTATTGTGCATGTGCATACAAAAGCCAAAATCATCTTAGTTGCTGTTGTTGCTAGCTAACTAACTTCTTTCCACCAGGATGATAGCGATGAAGAAGAAGAAGAAGATGATGATGATGATGATGATGACCCAAAGTTAGAACAGAATGAAGCACCAGAATACAGGAATTTGATTGCCATTCATGCTGGAAAGGGGAAGGGTGGACTGTCTGACTGGCTGAGAGTTGAACCTGATAAAGTGAGACGGCTTAGCTTGAGTGAGAAAGAGCTTCAAAAGGCTGTTTTGACTCATGGAAAAGAAATTATCCGGTATGATTCTCAATGTTCCCTGAAATTGCATACAAATGTTGGGCATCCTTGCATTATCAGTGTTGTGCGATTGGTATATTGAATTTGAAAGATGCAGCCAGAAAACTCTCATCTAGTTATGCCAGATATATAACATGTTCTTTAATTGCTACTTAGTATTGCCATTTCTGTTTAGAGAACATACATTTAATTGAAGTGTGATAACTTTAAAGATGCCAAAGACGGTTCAAAAATGAAGCTGGTGGAACTTTAAAAAAAAAAGTAAATATTAATTATGTTATAACTTTAGATTGTACACTTCCTCTCATCTTGTTCAAGATTCCTGGGTTGATGTAACAGAGCTAACTGCTAAGCAATCCCTAACTGAACTTGGAAGAGTGATTAATTAGTTTTCTGTTTTTCATGTTCCTTTGTTGCAGATTCACTCAGCAAAATTTATTGAGGATTTACCCGAAGGGCATACGCTTTGACTCATCCAATTACAATCCCTTAATTGGTTGGACACATGGAGCTCAATTGGTGGCGTTTAATATGCAGGTTAGCCGGTTAGGCTTCTTTCTTTTTGCAAATTTAGGTGTATATGATGTAAGTTGAGCAAGAACACTAATATATGAGCTTGAATTGACAATATAATTGTGCCTGGTTGGACAAAGCTGACTTTCTTGAGCCCAGTGTAACTTTTGGGCTCACCCTGTAATGTCTTTGAGCAAAACAAGCCAGGCTGATCTGGATCAATGACATTAAATTCCTAGTTATCATCGCTGGTACTTTTACATCTGCAATTGCAGCCAGGTGATTCAGGGTTGAATAAAGTAGTTCATCATCCAAGTACTTTTACTTGAATGATTTGTTGATTGGGCACTCAAGCTAAGACCCTAGCTCATGAGTGGAGGTTTTACCGCAACTTAAGTGGGACGGCTTCACTCCAAACTCTTCTCAGTTCCCTACCCTTTCCCATCAAGCATCAGCCTATCAACAAGAACACCAAATTATACGGTACTCAAGTCAAGGCCCTAACTCCACTATAAAAGTTAGCTCATTAGTAAAGGTTTGACCCCAACTTAAGTATCACTTCACAATTTCTTGTGGAGCTGATGTTGGATAGTATCATTTGCATTAGTTAACTCTATATATTTCTGTTCATTACTTGATCTTTTCTTGTATTTTCTGTTCAACAATTGATTGCGAATTTGTTGAATTGAGAAGTACTTACTAACTGTTCTTGCTTCAGGGTTACGGAAGATCACTTTGGTTGATGCAAGGCATGTTCAGAGCCAATAGTGGTTGTGGATATGTTAAGAAACCTGACATATTGTTGGGATCCGGTCCCACACACGAAGTTTTTGATCCTAGTGCTACACTACTAGTTAAAACTACATTGAAGGTGACTAGAGAAACCCAGGGCCATTAATTGTCTTTTGAATAGTATCATGAGAATGCTTTTACTTAGCTTATATATGTCCCTGAAAATAATCTGATTTTTATGAATCAGGTTACTGTATATATGGGCGAAGGATGGTATCATGACTTCCGTCCTAATCATTTTGATCCTTATTCACCCCCAGATTTCTATGCAAAGGTACTTTCATATTTAGCTCACTAATTCCATCTATTCTCTAGTGTGTTGCTAGTGTTCATAAGTAAAGCTAGAGATTAATTGAATGAAATAAGAAATAGATCGAATAACTCGAGGTATACGGGTTAAAACTTGTAAGTAAAGTTAGAGAGTAACTAAATGAAGTAAGAAATAGTCTGAATCACTCGAGGAGTCGAGGTGATTCAGGAGCTTAAATAAGGCACGAATAATAACTCAAACACGTAATATACATATCCCTAATACCGCTAATCTCCATGCAGGTAGGTATTGCTGGAGTTCCAACAGATAATGTAATGGAAAAGACAAAGACAATAGAGGACAACTGGATCCCTACTTGGGATGAGCAGTTTGAGTTCCCACTAACCGTTCCCGAATTGGCTCTTCTTCGCATAGAAGTTCACGAATATGATGTGTCCGGGAAAGATGACTTTGCCGGCCAAACGTGCATACCAATCCCTGAGTTGAGACAAGGAATCCGAGCAGTTCCTCTGTATGATGAGAAGGGTGAAGCGCATGAATCTGTAAAGCTTCTCTTGAAATTTGAGTTTGTTTGATCCCTTATAGTGAGCCCTTAAGTTTTGTTCCCAGTCTCTGTAGAATAAGATTCCTTTTTTGCTTTTTAGTTTTCAAAGCTTCATGTATATGCCTTAGGCCCTTAGCTTTGGTGTAGGTTCAATATTAACTATTAAGTATACCCGTGGTTTGTCACTTCTCCCCTAGTCTTTATAGGGGAAGCAGTGATTGGTCTTCTTAGTTTTTATCCCTCCTCCACCTATCTTTAGAGCAAGAGTGGTGATTGGTGAAGGGTCTTGTACACTATTCAACTCAAAAGTTATCCAACTTTTCCATTAGGTCAGCAGTGTACAAAAATCACAATAATTTATGTTTTTTTTAGTAGTATTGACTCTGGTTACAATGGGAGAGCAACTTGGTGCCAACTCTGGTTCAAACCCACGACCTCTCATATGGGAGAGCAACTTGGTGCCACTAGACCCCAAGGTTAGAAAAAATACTTCTGCCATTTACATCACAAGAATATGATGATATAAATTAGTGAAAAATTTACAAGTGGAAAGAAAGAAAGAAATTCTCAATGGTTTGAGTGATTGTTTTTTTTTCACTCAGAAATAATGGAGATTTCATCGCTGGAGAGGTAGCCATGGCTGTCATCACAAAGACCCAAAGCTCTCTCCAAATTAGCAACAATGTCCGCCATGGTGGGCCTATCTTTCCCTTCCAAATTCACACAAAGCATCGCCGTGTACGCAACCAGCTCTACCGCCTCCGCTTCCGCCATCCTCTCCGGCCGCCCAACTCTCCCGTCCAAAATCTTCTCCAATTCTCCCGCCATGATCGCCGGCACGGCGTACTCCACAACGCTCATCGGCGCAACGCCGTCATTGCCATTCTTAAAAATGGCTCTTTTTCCAGTCAAGAGTTCTAGCAGGACCACCCCGAGCCCATACACATCGCTCTTGGCCGTCAAGATGTTTAGTCCGTAGTACTCCGGATCAATATACCCTACCGTCCCGGCCGCCTTCACCGGGCGGCTGTAATCACAACTCCCTTCGGCCGGCCCCATCAACGACAACCCGAAATCGGCCACTCTACCGGTCCAATCCCCGTCAATCAATATATTGGAGGACTTGATATCCCGGTGGATTATCGGCGGAACTGCATAACTATGGAGATACTCTATCCCCCTGGCGGCATCCAAGGCTATCTTGATCCTCATCTTCCACGAATTCAAAACGCTGCAACTCTTCTCCACGTTGCTTTTATCATGCAAATGATCATACAAAGCTCCATTCTTCATGAACTCGTAAACCAGAAGCCTCTCATCGTCTTCCTCGCAGAACCCAACCAGCTTGACCAAATGCTTATGGTGCAACCTGGACATGAACACCAGTTCCGATTCAAACGCGCTTTCTTTCTCCTGGAAACGCTTGGGTTTATTATTATTCCCCGTTTCGCCTCTCTTGATTGCCACGTCACGGCCGTCGGGGAGTTTCCCTTTGTACACGACTCCGAAGCTCCCCGCGCCGATCTTGTTCTCCAGGGAGAAGCAGTTGGTGGCGGCAACCAGGTCGGAGAACATGAATTCCGCCGCCGTTTCCGTGCGTTTAGATGATGAAGTCCCGCTCTTCTGCCGCCCCATAAACCGTGAGCCCTGGCGTTTGAGCGTGGAGGATCTTGAAACTGGATTGCTGCTGGATTTTTGTGTGCCGCCATTAATGGTGGGTTGAACAGAATTGTGGATTTTTTGTTTCCGGAGACAGACACAGAGGCAATAGAGCAATGTGCAAAGCCCAGAAAATCCCCCAATTGATCCTGCAATTGTATAGGCCAATAAACCCCTTCTAAGCCCTTTCGAGTCTTTCGCCGCCGCCGCCGCCGCCGGAGGCGGCGGCGGCGGTATTGTGATTGAACGATCACATGGCCGGCAAATATTGCCGTTGCCGGAACAGAGAGATTGAGACTGGGGATAAACTCCACATTCACTGCAATTACTGTGAATACATGGGCCGGGGAGAATCTGAGGCAAAAGCAGTTTATCATCGTCTTCTCCGGCCCAGCCAGGGCCCCAACAAATCACGGAGAAATCGCTGGTTTTCAGTCCACAGGCGAAATCCAGTCCTGAAACTATGGATTCGAATGAGATTCCTTCCAGTTTTTTACTCCAAAAAGCTCCATTTCCGCCCCAGCAAATCACTGTGTGATTCAATCTTCTAATTCCGCAGCTGTGATTTTGTCCCGAGGATAATCCACTGTAACCATAAGCCGAATTCAACGGAACTTCCAATTCGCCGTTTAGATTCTTTCCTCGGCAGACTACAAACCCTGTAGTGTTCAATCCGCAGGCGAAGCTTCCGCCGGCGTTTATACTCACCATTGATTCATTCTTGAACTCTGATTCTATGGCGGAAGCTTTATCGTTATCTTCCCCCCAGCATACAACTCTGTTTGAGCTTTTCACTACTCCGCAAGAAAACCCTAACCCGGATGAGATTGACACAATCTCGGATGACCCGTATGATTTTTTACCCCGCCAGCAAATCACGTTATGGTCGGACTGGTTATTAACGCCGCAAATTTGGGTGTCGCCGATTGAAATGGCGGAGATTGGGGTGGAGGAATTCCAGTAGAGTCTCTTGGGGGTGAAACTGGGGTCCCAGCAGACGACCGAGAACCCGCCGGAGCGGACGCCGCAGAGGACGTCAAGTCCGCCGGCGATTGAATCGAAGGAGACGTTCGGGTATACGGCCAGCGGCGTTTTCCGGCGCTTTTCCCAGCACTGTATTTCCTGGAATGGTGTTCCGGCTGATATCCCGCAGACTGTGACGGTGGAGCCGTACATGACGGCCAGCGTGGCGGAGGAGCCGCCCAGGGCATGCACGGCGGATGGCGGATATATCAGGGCGGTTGTCAAGACGGCGACGGCGACGACGGAAGCAAAATGCGTCGTCATCTATATCTATACATAATTACATATACAAAGCATAAACCTCAATTGTATCGAGAGAGGAAGACCAAGGGCGGCTGTGTTATACAATTCTTAGACTATACATAATTACTTAGAAGTTTCTCTTTAAACGTCCAAGAATTGTTGAATTGTAGTGTGGGCCAAGGCCTTAAACATTGTTAAACTAGGATGTTGGAATTATTACACGTCATATTGGCCCGACTAACAAAATTTGGCAAATTATTCTGTGGACCTGGTCCACCTTGGACTAGGGTAAAAAAATACACAATTTATATACTGAATGTTCACAATTTACATATTGAATGTTTATAATTTTATATACTAAATATTTACAATTTACATATTAAATGTTCACAGTTTTATATATTAAATATTTACAATTCAAATTGTGAACATTTAATATGTAAATTGTGTATTTTGACCCGTGCGGTCATGCATCATTAGATGACATAAATGCATCATAAAGTGTCTGAAAACATACCATTACGTGTGGTGCATTTTTAGTGTGTCGTGCATTTGTGCATTTCATTCTGATGCATTTTCGAACACTGTGTGGTGCATTTATGCATACCTAACGGTGCAATTTTGCACGGGAAGTCATGTCCTCATTTGAACCAAAATCTACCCACTCTGTTATTATTAGTTCATTAGTTGTTATATATCACGTGTATGAGTATGTATAAATACTATTTTCATGTACTAAAAAGGGTTTGCAATGCATTAAAACACAATATCCTCTAGCTTCAAAATCACATCAAATGATTCAATCTTCATCCAAATATTCCGTAACTTTATTTACCAGCCATTAAGTTTTGTTATTACTATTTAATCATTTATGTTAAAATTATTTCAACACTGAGTGTAGAATATATTCAAATGTACTTGTTTAGCTCCAAGCTTCCAAGTGGGTCGCTGGGCATACTTTTGTTGAAATTCATGTAGCGTAATTTAGCATAGGAAATGTGTGAAGTGAGGGGCTGAGAGTATACATACTTACATAGGCATAGGCACATGTTTGTTTGTTAGTACAGTTGAGTTGAGGTAGCAAATGTTGACTAAAGAAAAGCCCACCGTTAACTTGCAATTATTTTTATCCATTATCTAATGGTGTGATTTACACCATTTGCTCTTTCATTTCATTTTCTAAGGTTATTGGGAGTTTTGGTCTACAAGTCTACTGACAGTGACATTCATAGTATCGTTTATCATTATATGTGTATGATTTTTTTCTAACGTTTGATTATTTCAATAAAATTTTATTGATTTTTTTTTTTATATATGATTTGGTCGTTTGTAAGTTTTGTGACAAAATTTAGATGTAATTATCTCTAACTCATTGTCATCCTTACTAGTTGAAGCGCTTATTCCGTTATCTTTTCCGTTACCGCATTTTAGTCTGTACAAATATGATTAACCTTTGCTTTTCAATCTTAGAGTTATAGTAACTCTTTCTTACATTTCTTAATCAAGTTTGGTATTGGACCCTTATTTTGGTTCTCTTCCTTTTAAGTATATGGAATTCGATGATTGTGCACCAAGACAATGGTGACAATGTTTGTTGTGCCTTTCACACTCGTTGGTTTGGCTCATAGGTATCATCCTGTCCCAAGTACACCACATAAAGACAGAATCTATGGATTCATTTTGTTGATTTATAAGACAGGACCTAAATTCAATACTATGAATTGATTCCTTATTAGCATGTGATTTTATTAAAAGGGAGAAAATTCTATACCTCCTTTTTTTTTCCTTAAAAAAAATCTAGTCGCAAACTTTTTCGAAAAGATTATCATTAATTATGAGAGAGATTTTCAAATGATTCATCAACCCAACGGTGTGGGTTGTTAGGCTCTGATTGAGGAAACTCAAGGGGTCATCAAAAGACGCCGAGTGTTGAGGGGCAGTTACTTCGTTGACCATGAGTTTTTCGGGGTCTCCCACTCCATCCTGATTAAAAAAATAAAATAAAATGATACTTCTCTTTTTTAGCCTTGGGTAGGAGTTAAACCTTCCAGTCGTAACTGCTAACAAAGTAAAGCTATCAACTTATTTTAGGATCAACCAGTTGAATTGTGCCTGATAGCGCATGTGATTTTACTTATTATCTTGTCCTACACATAGTATTCTGTTATATTTGGTCTTGCAAATAGTTGCCAACACTTTTCAAGCTCTGAAACTATAAATTAGCTGTGATGTTGGGTGTAAGAGCCACAACTTTGTCAAACAGGCCAGCATGGAAGAAGAAGATCTTAAGTAGGCAAAGCATGAAAAACATGGATATGCCCTTTCTTTTGTATACATCATCCAGCTTTAGGACACATGGCTTTGTTTCAGAACAACCTCAACTTCTCCGAACATCATCATCCTGTCTGTCTTCTACTCTCTTTCACTAATCTATTCTGTAAGAAAGAACACTTATTGGCAAGCCATGTTACACTTACAACAGTTCTGGATCTTCTTCCGGGCAGCACGACAGGGATCCACAACTCCGGGAGCCTCTACAGCAGTTGAACATACAAACGAAGTGGCACGAGAGGCCTTTCTGTTCAGGCTTAAAGGCTGATCCTTTGCGCAGATAGCAACAACGCTCGGTACTATACAAAAATCTGCTTTTCGGATGGAGGGTAATCTCATTCTCATCCCTCGTTCATTGCTCTAGAAGCAGGGATTCCGTGCTTCTGAAACCATTCAGGCATGTGGAACGTTTCATAAAGCACTGGACGTACATCTTTCTGTTGAGAAAGATGCTCGAGAAGAGGAAGGATAACTTCCAGAAGCTGATATGCATTTGAACATTAAAAGAAAGGTAAACAAAATTGCAGGTCTAAGATTTCCATGGAGCAAATAGCAGAAAGGGACTAATTTCTATGTGTTCTTGTAAGTCATACCTGCTCATCGTGAGGCTGTCCTGCAGAAAAAGGAACGCAAGGAATTCCATTCAATGGTTGCAGTAAAAAACTGAAAGGGTTGTTATCAACCATAACAATTCGGCTTAAATCTTTTGAAATGCAAGATAGATCCTTCACATGCTCCCGATATTCACTGTGATAGAGTTCAGACATGTTAGAAGAAACACATGTTTTAAGCTAGAAACGAAGCTTTTGACTGTCTAAAAGGAACAATTACATTCTGAATTTTACAGCAATTGAATATAACCTTCATCCGTTTATTCTACTAAACTTTTCATTGCTTATTCCTATAATCTTAGTTCAGGAAAAATGGCACTTTTGGTCCCATACTCCCATCAGTTTATGCACTACCAGAATGCCAGAAAACGTGCAGGAAATCTATCAAACATATTAGAAAGTATGCTATCCTCGAAGTTCTTGATCTCAAACATATTGTTAAACAGGAAAAGATACTAAACCAAAACAAGAAAGGATGCTATATTTGAAGTTCTTGATCTCAAGCATATTGTTAAACAGGAAAAGACATTAAACCAAAACATCCAGAGAATACAGAACAACCAGGAGCATCTTCATGTAGCAATACTTACGTGCTGGTCGTTGAAGGCCTGTAAAGCCGATGAATAAATAGGTGATCAACATCCAATTTATCAACAACTGGCCTTGCATATCCTGCAGGAAGACGATGAACACAACCGAACATAAATGAAGATAAAGGAATTACTTTGAAGAAAAGGCGACAATATCAAGTGTAAAGTCATAGGCAAACCTTCAAGTCCAGCAGTAAATAACACAAGGTCAGCAAATTTGCTGAGTTCTTTCAGAAATGTGCGTAATCCAGGGCGTTCAAACACTGTGACGTAGTTGATCTTAGGATTGTCATGGCATTCCTTAAAACTCCCAAAACAAACTGAGGGTTTTACTTCATAAATTATTGTTTAAGCATTGTAGCAATTACAGAGATGGGTTTACCTTGTCTGAGGAAATGCATTCAAGTTCAAACCACTTCAACCCAGCTTCTATGGCCTGAGTATGTATTATAGAAGGCAAAGTTGATGTCTCATATGCACAAACCAAAGTTTCATCCAAATCAAGTACCACCTGCATCAAAATCTCACAAGTTAAGAAGAAATCTATAGTGGATAATAACCAGTTCATATAATAATGAAAAGTAGAGCACACGGGGACAACTTCAGCCAAGTTAGTCAGATTGATCGGCTAATCACAAAGTTACAAGTTCAACTATCAGCGAGAGCAGACTATTAGCTCTGATTACAAGTTTGACTTTAGTGGGAGTGACTTATTGACCTTTTTTGTTTCTATGGACAACTTAAACTGTTTTACATTGTGATCAACTCTCGGAAGAGCGGCCTATTGGTTGAGGTTACAAGTTTGATCTAGTGGGAGTAGTCTACTAACTTTCTAGCCGATCAATTACGGGCAACCTAAACTAGTTTAATTTGTGATTATTTGTTAATTAGGATTACAAAGTAAACGCCTCGAGTAGTTACTCAAAAAATTAGAAATTAGCAGCATATGGAAGGGAAGAACATCTAGTCTAGGTTTACTTATGAAGAAGGTGGCCTTACCGTAAGCCTCGGTAAATGATGCTCATCGGGACAACCAGCGGCGATTTGGAGTGACGGAAGGGCTGAAGAGGGCGGCGAATCGTCGTTATCCTCAAGTTCGACAACCGGGAGAGGCCGGAACTGCGGAGGAGGAGAGGAGAGGAAGGAGGTGTTCCGGAAGCCGACGTACGAGAGGACCTGAGCCGCCGACGGTGAGCCTCGAACGTTCTGAACGAAGATCTGGTAGAACGCGGCCGCCCAGTTCAGCAGCGTCCGCCACAGTTGTAGAGTCTTCGGAGCGTAGACTTTGGCTGCTTTAGCCAGCTCTACCATAACTCCACCGGAACCTCTCCGAACTCCGCCTGGAGCGCGTACGACGGCACGTGTACAACGGCGAGTAAAATTATACGGAGTATATATTTACAAAAAAAATAATAATAATAAAATCCAAAAAATGACCGTAATTCCTATGAATTTCTACTTTTTCATCTACCGATTTATGATTACGAATTTAAATCTCTCGAAATATATTGTAATGAAAATGGAGTCTCGACGGAGCTGTGGTCAAGGTGGTGCTTCGACGGAGAGTAATCCTAGCTTGAGAAGAAGAGTGTCTGCCACGCGACGTTGGGGAGAGTCGGGTTGACAGTTGATTACTGTGTTACTATTTTTGGAAACTTTTCA